CTAGCGGGTAATTATATATTTTTTCTTTTTGTTTCTATGGCTATTCTTCTGCTGTTTGCTGTTGAAATTATTATATTTCCAGAGCATGTGGTAACGTTAGCTTTTATTTGAAAACCTTGCAGGATTGTCTGAACTTACCTTTGACTTAAGACCGGAAATCAGGAAAAGTGCTTTGCAAGTGTTATTTGACACATTAAGAAACCATGGCCATCTTTTCTCGCTGCCTTTATGGGAGAAGGTGTTCGATTCAGTGCTTTTTCCAATATTTGATTATGTACGTCATGCTATTGATCCATCTGATAGTTCTCCACAAGGACAAAATGTGGAAAATGATCCTGCAGAACTTGATCAAGATGCTTGGTTATACGAGACGTGCACTTTGGCACTTCAGTTGGTTGTAGATCTCTTTGTTAAGTTCTATGATACAGTTAATCCTCTTCTAAAGAAGGTTCTGCTGCTCTTGACAAGTTTCATAAAGCGTCCTCATCAGAGTCTTGCTGGTATAGGTATTGCTGCATTTGTTCGTTTGATGAGCAGTGCTGGATCTATGTTTGTGGATGAAAAATGGCTAGAGGTTGTATTGTCATTGAAAGAAGCTGCCACTGAGACGCTTCCTGATTTCACTTATGTTTCATCTGGAGCTTACCTGGAAAATGTGCCAACAGAAAATGGAGTCTCTGCTGATAATAGAGAGGACGAATCTCAACCATTAGCGGATGACAATGAAGAATCCTCTAGATCAAGGAATCTATACTTTGCAATTGGTGATGCCAAATGTCGAGCTGCTGTACAACTCCTATTGATTCAGGTATGTAGGCTTCTGTTTGCTTTTATGTCCGGATACATATTGTTTTCTCAGAGCTCTGATTTTCTTGAATTCTTTGAATCTGGTACAGCATCTGTAAATGGGTAGTTGAGATTGAGAAAAATGAAAAATTTGGCAATGCCACACCATGTATATGTAGGGTTGATAACATAGGTGTGGGTTTATAGAAGTATTGTTAACCCATAAAATATTTCTTCTGGAAAAACAAGAAAATATATAGTTCTGCGCCCTTCCTATCTTGAAGTTTCTTTTGGGGTTCCTGATGATGGTGATCTCCTTAGGTACAATATATTATTAGACAAACTAAACATAATAAGTAAAATTTATTCAGAATATTCCCCTGCTCCTGTAGAGCCTTTCTCAGCCTATCTGCTCAACCAAATATTTATTTCCTAGTTTTTTCAATTGTAATTTGTATGAAATATCTGCTTTAACTTCTAAAAAACGAGCTTGGTAATTTCTATATGATAGTGCCAGCTGTATTTACTTTTATGCATTTCTTTGTGTAGGCTGTGATGGAGGTATATAACATGTACAGAGCACAGTTATCAGCACAGAACACAGTAATCCTGTTCGAGGCCTTGCACACTGTTGCCGCACATGCTCACAAAATAAACAGTGATAGTGATCTGCGTTCCAAGTTGCAAGAGTTGGGCTCGATGACGCAAATGCAGGACCCGCCATTGTTGCGCCTTGAGAACGAGTCATACCAGCTGTGCCTCAGTATCCTTCAGAACATATTTCTGGACAGCTCTCCTGATCATGGAAGCACAGAGGTGGTGGAGAGTCACCTTATTGGCTTGTGCAAGGAGGTCCTTGAGGTATACTTGAGCACAGCAAGACCTTCTCAGCTTTCCAGTGGCACACAGCCGCTAGGCCATTGGCTTATCCCTGTTGGTTCATCGAAGCGAAGGGAACTTGCGGCGAGAGCACCTCTTGTTGTCTCAACCCTGCAAGCTATTAGCGGACTAGGTGACTCAGCTTTCGAGAAGAACCTTGGCCAGTTCTTCCCCCTCCTCGCTGGGCTCATAAGCTGCGAGCATGGCTCTAGTGAAATACAGGTGGCCCTGAGTGTTATGTTCAGCACTTGGGTTGGCCCACTCGTGCTCCAATCCTGCTGATGCTGAGCACCATGTTATACATAGTAGTATACATCACCGTGTAAGTTTTTCTTTGTTTAAGTGGAATCCCATTGTGTTCCTCCTTTCCCCCATTTTGTTCTGTTAATCATTTAGTTGCTGGGGGAGTTCATATTGTTGTGCCGAACTGATCTTGCAGATCAATTTTTCCTTGACATTCTTTTCTTGTTCGCGTTGGGAGGAGTGTATGTTACTATAGAGAACTGAATTATGTATGGTAGTTTAGTTAAAATTGTGCCCATTCTGTTCCTAATGTACTGATTTCTAGAGTTTTTAGGCATATTTTACATGCTTTTGTCGAGTAGCGTTTCTCTTTCCTGGAATGTGGTTGTGTAAGAAGCAGCACGGTTACCAGCTCCTGTGATCACGCTGTACCCTTGCACAAAGGACTTGTACGGGTTGGATTATACCGTTCTTGCGAGTTGGGAGTGTTACCAGATATATATACTCCCATCTGTTCCGAAACAATACACGTATACGTGTATTTTGATCAAAGGAAAAGTCAATAAAATATATTTTGATTCTTAATTTCTTTTATAATATGTTGTTATTTGCTAAAGAATCAATATCATCTCATGCATTTTGAATATAAATCTGTAGATGCAAGTTTGTATGTTCTAAACATTGTGTACAATTTGAATATGTTGATCATGGCTTGTGCAATTTGACTTTTTCCTATATAAATAAAATATGCTTATTATTTTGGGACGGAGAGAGCATTAAAATTTTTTCAGTGGACATTGTACTTACTTGAATGTTGGTCATGGTGACTGGGTTGCAACTGTCACGACTACAGAAACGGCTTTTATAAGTGGATCTAAACCCCATTCGCCCTGGAATTTAGAATCGGGAGTATATGTATGTAAGAGTGGACGAGGTGACTGTTGTCTGTTCCGCGAGGAGACAATGCTTACATGGGCTACGTAGTTTTTTTTTTATATATCATACGTAGGGTGTATTTGATTAAAGGTCAAAGTTGAATGGAGCATGTTGCTCTTTTTTGTTTTGTTTGGTTGGACGAGATATCATTTATTTCGGATTTCTCGCTAGCCAAAGATAGATAGCAATAATGACTTTTTAGAGTGTACTTAAGATATAGAGAAGCGCACTGTTGGAGGATACAAAATATAGAAAACGATTTTTATTTAACTAAGTCTTCAAATGATGATTTAGAGAGTAAAATTTAAAAAGACTCTTTGGAGAGACTCTTTGTTTGGTTGGCTAGAATAGAATGACCAGACTGATTATGACACATTGGATCCACTTATTATTATTATTATTTTACCGAAACATAATCGTGTAAGATCTTCTTTTAGATTTAATTGCAACAGATATAAAGATAACATTATATTAAAACATAGATAAATGGTCTGTGAGATAAAATCATTTGGATGTTTGCTGAAAGAAAGACAAAGCAATTATTCGGTTGGTCTATAAGCCGATCGTGCTGATTTGTACGGCTGATTTGTTGGGAGAGAAAAATATTGTCCCATTGCTGATAAGCCGGCTTATATGAGCAGCCGAACACAACCATGCTTCTATCCAGATCCGCAAGCATCAACGAGCAATATTGGGTGGATACGGACTCATTCGCCATTTTTCACCTAAGAGCGTGTTTAGTGGGGGAAAGTTGGAATTTGGCTATCAGAAGACTTTCGCTTTTTTATTTAGCAATTAATGTTCAATCATGGACTAATTAGGCTTAAAACGTTCGTCTCGCGATTTTTCAACCAAACTGTGCAATTAGTTTTTTTCGTCTATATTTAATGCTCCATGTACGTATCGCAAGATTCGATGTGATGACACTGTAGCACTTTTTGGGAAGTTTTTTTTGAACTAAACACGGGCTAAACTAGTTCTGCTAGCATATTAGAGAATATTCTTCTAACCTGAATCTCTCTATCGATTTGCCTAAACTATTAAACAAGTCAAAAACATGGATCACCATCTCCAATTTGGGTTCATCTAGAAAACAAAACACACCGGTAGAGTCCGTGCTCAATTTTTTTTTAGAAAAGGAGAGTTCGTGCTCAAGGAGGAGACGACAGCGATTTTGGGACCAGAGTGCTGCTACCACCTGTATCAGGTGTATCAGGTATTCAGGTGTCAGGCCTAGCGCTTTTGCGCAACTTTAGGACTCTTTGGTGTAGCTTCATCGGCAGTAGCAAGAGAAGTCAAAGCCGGTAAAATTAAAAATAATTATTTCACCAGCTTCTAGTCGTTGGAGGAGAAAAGGAGCTTCATAAATAGTGTCATGAACAGATGAAATTGAAGCCTTGAGAAACTCCACCAGAGGGGGTTTTACTGGTGCCATGGCCGTTGCTGTGGTACCTCCTGTCCACGTCAGCACTGACGTGTAAAGCGGAAATGCGATCGTCAACCTATAAACTACGCACACCAACCCACGTTGCGCGAACCTATTCTTTTACCGCACCAACGTAGTATTATTTGGCATGAAAACTGAAATGTAGGCTACTTTCTATAATTCAGTCAGTTGTACACGTGGTTATAGGTATTACTAGTATTTTCTTTTTTTGGAAAACCGAGATGGAACCACTGTATAAAATGACACCACGCAAACCCTATAGCATCATCGTACGGGGCCTGCAGGATTGCAGACTGATCAACAGAATATAATACGTACATCGATACCCTTGAAATTAGCGCAGGTTAACTGTACATGAAACCAGTACAAGAACAATACACACAGGTTAATTCACAAGAGGATTAAACACAAACCAACAACCATGCTCCTTCAAGCAAGTAAGCACATGTACAGTGAGGTTTCAAACACACAGCAACGCGGAAAAGCTCTAGCAGAAGAGACTGACAGCTTACATTCCCCCACACACCCTCGCCACAACCCGCTCGACTGCAAGCTGAGTATTATTCCAGCAACCCAAAGGCGTCACCTGGCCTGAGAGAACGCACAAGCAGGCTTGCCTCACTAGCTCTACAGAAATTCAAGACCTCCACCATCCCGCCCAAACGGCACCAATAATCAACAAACCTGATACTGCGTTTCCGGAGAAGTTTCACTCTTTGGTCTTTGCGAAGAACCGACTGAATCCTCGGCTCTGTTTGTCTGGCAACGGGTGGTTGGTGAATGAGGAAGACGAAGAGGACCTCGATCGATGCTTCGGGCGCTTGGAGCTGTTAGGAGAAACGAAAGGGCTTCCGTCCGCATCAGAAGGGATCATGTGTGTCTTGTATCCATTGACCGGAGACACACTTCTTGTCCTAAGCATATCCTGGTCTGTATCAGGTTGGCCCGAAGGCTTCTGGGAATATTCTCCTGCGGTTGTTCCTACAGCATCCTGCAGAAAGTCCTCCATGCGTTGCCCATTAGGTGAAGAGCCTAGTGACTCGGCTGGAGGACGCATAGCTTGCAGCTGACGGCCAAGAATCAATATAGTTTCCTGGCACTCTGCCAGCTTCTCTGCTGCAGCCGCTATCTCTTTCTCCTGTCATCATTTAAATACAAAATTAGCTGCTCAAAGTATTTGGTATCATGAAAAGTTTAGTAGTTTGACAGAACAAACTACAGTTCAAGGTAAGCCTGAAAAACTTTCAAATCAATTTAGTGCTTGAGTACATTATGTGATTTAGTGCTGCCATAGTTATTGATCTGGAAGCACTTACTCACACATCAAGATTAAAACACAACAAATGAATGAAGGTCGTAGACAATAGCAATGGGAAAAACCTAACTACTGTACCTGCTTTGACTTGGTGTCTGGGTCCTCGTCCACAAGCATTGAACTCCTCTCCATCTCATACCTTCACATCATAAAAGAAAGTCAGAAGAGAAATCAAGTAGAGGGCGATCAATATTTCAAAGCATTTGAATTTACCTTTCCATCTTCTCCTCGAGATCTCTGTATTTAACTAAGTCTTCCTGATGACTTTGTCTTTCATCAGAGAGTTCAGCTGTTAAAGCATCTATTTTGGACTGTAACACTTCTATCTCATTTTCTAATTCAATTTTCCTTGATTCAAGTGACTTGTAAGATTCAGCCATACACTTCAACTGTGTCTCACTCAAGCTATTTGATTTCTCACTGTCAGCCAACTTAGATGTGAGGTCTTCCAGGTTTTTCTCCATATCACTTAATCTAACCTTTGTTTCTTCTATTATTTCGTTGCACTTCGCTAGTTCTCCCTCCAAAATTATCTTCTCAGATTTAAGTTGTTCATATTCCTCTGGCAAGCAGACCTTCACTGCAGTCTTAACATCAAATCCAGCATCAGCAGGCCCCTCAAACTCAGGATCTGAAGATGAATGAGGCAATAGTGGGCAGAGACTAGAAACATTGTCTTTTACTGGCTCAGGCTGCACCACCTTATTTTCAAGTAGAGTCACTTTATCAACACAATCTAAGTTATTAGTTTCTGCTTCATTGCTATTGTCTCTCAACAATGTGAACTTAATCTGGCTAGTTTCTGACAAGATAACAGACAGTGCCATGACAATATCATTTAGGACATCATCGTTTGACAGAACTCTGTCAACTAATGCAGAGAACTGTAGTGTTTTCTCACATAGCCCATCATAATCAGATGACTGGCCTTGAAACTTGGAGACTTCTTGATCAAGTAACTTGACAAAGTCCTGAATCTTCAATATGGCATTCTTAAGTTCTTGATCCATGGCACATTTGCTCTGTGAACTTGAAGTCCCATTTGCATTCACCGAATCTGCCTCATCTTCAATATCCTTTAGAATGTTTCTGATACTATCAAGTACCTTTCCAGCATTATTCTCTGGTGATTCAGAATCCAGTAAGGAAGATATTCTTGACTGGAATTTCGAAAGCGAAGATTTCTCAGACAGACGCTGTTTATTAGATGGAGTTTCTGACATTGGTGAAGCTGACTGCAAATCTTTAACACCATCTCTTTCAGTAAAGCCAGGCAAAGTAGCCCCAACATCGTCTATCTTCATTTTGTCAGTAGTACTGCCATTGCCATTAACTTCAGAAGACAGACATGCTAATCTCTCCATCTCTAAGAAGTCATCCATGAGCTCCAACCTATTGGAGCTTTCTGTCGCGCTGCTCTTGGCCGCCTTCTCTTTTTTGAATTGAGAGAGCTCAGATACCAGAGCGTTGGCCCAAGATTCTGTACAACTTCCTTCATCATCTACCCCATCTTCAGACATGGAAGTCATGCTAGGTGGGTTGCTTCCATTTTGGCTCAATGCACCATCAAAGTGAATATCCAAGTTTGGAGTTGATGGACTCTTATGCTGGTTTCCAGTCAACATTTGAACTTCCAAGCTTCGGAGCTTTCCTGCTGTCTTAGCATACATGCTTCTTGAAGATTGCAGCTCACTGTTTCTCTTTGTCAATGCCTCTTTAAACATCTTGGTTTCTTCTTCCATTGTTAAAAAACGAGCAGTCAGAAACTCATTCTCTCTCTGCATGTGTTGTATGTTCTCAATTGCATAATCAGGAACAGGAGACATAGGAGACATAGGCCGATGGAAACTAGAATTCTTTGCAGGGGATCGTCGTACTCTGTGGTCTCCATACTCTCTACCCAAGCTCTCCACCTCCATTTTCATCTGAGCTAGTGCAGCAGGGCCAGGTAACTTCTTTCGAACAAGGGCGCGCAATCTCTGGCATTCAGCTTCAAGTTTTGATATTTTCTTGACATCTTCCTGGTGCTGTTTAGTTGCTACATCAGCTGAGCGCACACTCATGTTCTTTTCTTCATTGCGGATTTCAAGCTCTTTGGAGACAACATGCAATTCATATTTTAGTGAATTTATCTCCCTTTCACCTGATTGGATTGTGCTTTTTAAGACTTCAATCTCGGCTTCAGCTTGAGCTTTTTCCTCATCAATTTTCATCAACAGTTCTGCCCGCTCTTGAAGTGATCTTGTGAGTGCATCATTCTCAGCACCAGCCCTTATGAGTTCCTGTTCAAATTCAAGTAATTTTGCTTCGAACTTGGCCTTTATCTTCTCCCACTGTTTGGTTTTTGCAAAGACTACATCATGTAGCTTCTGCTCACCTTCTTCCTTAACAGTCCTTACTTGCTTCATGCATTCTTTCAATGCACCATCCAGATGTGCACCTCTTTCTTCAGCTGCTAGCTTAGACAATGTAACAGTTTCTAACTGAAGCTTCAGTGCGGAGGCCTCTGCTTCAGCTTTCTCCCAACCTAGCATGCCAAAACATAAATTATGTCACAAATACATTTAGTATAGTTATCTCATAAACTAAACTGTATATTATCTAGAGAAAGTTTGTTCCATATAAAAAAGAAGACTATTACAACCTAACTTCCATCCAGAAGCCAGCCAATTTTTATAAATCATAACCCAATATCAGGCCAACTTGCTAAATTATTCTATCCAAAAAAGGAAAACGACTAATATAAATATATTTCAAAAAGAAAATTAGTCATCTTATGTGTACCTGATACAGCTTCTTCAGCAACTTTTGCATGCTGCTTCACAAGAGCATCTTTAGTTGTGATCTCAGATTGTGCCGCAGAGAGTTTTTCATTCAAGACCATCACATTTTCTTCTAAAACTTTTACTTTTTCCTCCGACTCAGTAAGATGTGCATATGTTTCAGGTGAAATTTGCATAAATTTTGGAGCTTTATCTTCCTGCAGAGAACAGAACTTGTTTTAGCAGAAGTATACTTTAAAGATATTAAAGGCTTTGTTGTTGTTGTTGTTGTGATACTTTAAAGATATGTCAAAACTTATCAATCAGGTTACCATAATGCACAGGATTACTGCCCAACCAGCTTTTGATGTATAAAGGTGAAAAAAAAAAACCTGGCCAACTGATTCTAGCCATTGCCATGCCAAATGGTATGTGACACTTTACCACACCACCACGGTTTATGAAAGAAAATGAAGATAAAGAGAGAGAGAGAGAAAGAGGTGAACAGATCAGATCAAGGGACATCTTGGCACAGGTTAGAAGGAACATGTTCAATTAGTCAAGACAATGTACCCTATTGCTGAAAGAAAACGAAAACGAACTAAAGAAACATGGCTGCATGACCAACAACCAAGTGGCATCAGTTAACTCAGAACAGTCCCTTGTGCGGTTGCACCTATCAAATCTTTCTTCTGGCATCCTTACGTACCCTCTACATCCCAAACTGTAAGTCGCAATTGCACCTATCAAATCTTTCTTCTGGCATCCTTACGTACCCTCTACATCCCAAACTGTAAGTCGTTCTGGCTTTTCTAGATGCATAGCTTTTACTTACAATTTGAAATGGACGGAGTAGAAAATATAGGAGGTTAACACTATTCTCTTATAATACAGAGACTTAGATCAATCTAACTCAATATTATACAAGAAATCTTGGCAAACCTGTTCTGCATGATTAGAATTCTGCAACGCATCTGCATTTGATGATTTATCAGATGATTTCTTCTTCCAAGGCCAGCTGCGTCGATCCATTGCTTGCAGAGTATCTAATAAGATGTGGTGAATATTTGTGATCAGCTACGAAACTGATAAATTGGGTATAGGTAGGAGAAAAACTCAAAAGTAAATGGAGTTAAACTGTTTAGTCATTAAATTTGACAACCATATAAAGCATATAGACATCTCATGAAACCAACGTGTAATTCTAGAAAAATGAACTAACATGACCATTGTGACATTGCATACAGATTTCCACACAGAGTACTAGTAGCATATGATGACAGGCAAATAAAAAAAGTCAACCAAAAAACTATCTTCAAACCAACACCACAAGATAATCAGTACAGTATCGACCTGAGATTAGTTAACCAAATTTACGAAAACAACATTGCATAACCCACACATTAAAGCCAGTATATTATATGCACCTTGTGCAGACCAGAAACATCAAAAGCAAGTGAAGCTAAGCTGTAGGACTACAGGAACTGTGAAGACATTAGATAGGAAACTAACGTATGGCTCTAGCCTTCTGACAAATGAGCTAATGTGTTTTCTGTATGTCCATACAAAACACAGCCAGTCTGCCAGCAAGAACCCCAAACTGAATATAACTAGTAAAACACCGGTTGTTGGGCAAGTGCTACACGCGCTTAAGTTAATAATCACTCCACTATATATGGTTAGAAAAGAATACCAATAATACGATCAACTACTCCAATCAGTCCTCAGTGTGGCCGCGTAGGGTTCATAAATCCAAACGTACCTCACCAGCTCAAGTATCTTAACATTCCACTGGCAGGAGACGTACAGCTCCAATCATCGAAAGGCAGAAGCTTCTGCCACAGTGGAGTCACAGCTATATAGGGACAGAGCAGGGTCAGGGTCAGGCAGGCCAAGAGAATCGAATCCCTGCATAAAAGAGGAAACCAATCCTTCAAGCAAGAACGCGCGGTACAATCAGCACGCGTCGTTGCGGGCGGCCCCCACGCGAGGCCAAGTTGCAAGCACAGCACAGTGCACCCGATCCGATCACCGTCATGCCAGAACTAGGCCAGGGCATTGACGCGGGCAAGTAAGCGTATTGTCTTACTCATGTGTGCGCACCTACCAGAGCTTAATTGACGCGGTACAGTATCTTCTACTCATGGACCATAATCGCGCGTTGGGCGCAGCTGAGAGCTGACAGGCGCACAGGCTGTAGAGCTTCAGCGCGAACGGCAACCGAAGTAATTGCCAGCGTGGGGGTCGCACATGTTTATCCGGCAGAGATGACCTGACCGGACGCCTCCTGCTGCCCCCGCCACTTCTAGCAAAGTCTGCGTCCCCGGTGAAAGAACTGGTGGTTCCGGCCGTAAAGAAGGCGCGCGTGACGCGGCTTAAAAGTTCGGAGCTACTACTACCTCAAGCTCGATACGGACATTGATGGCAGTCTCCGCTCGGTGGATTTGGCTTTAACCAGATGCCCCGCTGCATCATTCATTGTCCTTGTGGTGTTCTTGTGGCGCGCCCTCTCCTCATCTCCGTCCTTTACTAATAATTGGCAGCAGCAGTTATCCCCGTGGGGTAGTGAAGCGGCCGTATTCTTGCACGGTCAGCAAAACTATAAAAGCACGGTAATAAAAATAAAAATCGAGTAGTGCGCGAGATGGGCTTCCTCTGATGGATAGGAATGTTCCACGTGTGAGGAGAGAGTGAGTTCATCAGAAGCAGACCAGCGTGGTAAGGGGAAAGTTGAAGCATAGAGGGAGGCAGGGAGCGCAGCACGACGACTTGCCGGAGCACTACTATCCGTGTGGAACTGCCGCCGCGTGAGCGATCCTCGCCGCAACTGAGTTATGAGTTCAGTTCCGTCCAGAAAGGACAACGAAACACGAAGCGGAGAGCCCGGAGGGCGGAACCTCAACCAACAAACAACAAAGCGAGCGGCGCGGTGGGGAAAAAATATTCAGAAACTGTGCAGAAATTTTGGGTTTAAACATTAAACTGTACAGTAAAATTTCAGAGAGCGCGACATCCGGCATGAACAGAGGAACTCCGTATGCAGCAGGCTCTGCTATCGAAGCACATGATCAAAAAAAAATCCCGAACGAGACGTAGTAGAAATTGCTACACACATTGCTCAAACGAACGGGAAGAGCAATCACGCCATAGCAACGAACGGAAAATACAGGGAAAACACGTCAAACAGGCTCATGGGGAAAGGAAGCGGGTGATTACCTGGGGAGACGAGGGCGCGAGGCAGTCAGGAGGGGAGCCCCTGCGCGGAATGCAGATCCGGGGCGGGGCCGCGGGCGCCGGAATCCGCCGCGATTCCGGCGGGGGTGTTGGATCTGGCGCGCGCTCCGATCGCCGCGAGGGGGTGCCGGTGTCGGTGGCGTGCGTCGCTTGCCGAGCACACTTGCCTTCCAGCCAGTCACAGCGGCGCTACTACCGCGTCGGCCGTGGTCCGGCTGGATTGGATTGGACTGGACTCCCTCGTCCCTCCCCACTGCCCACTGCCGCTTTTCCCCCCTCCGCACCTCGCCTCCCCTTTTGCTCCCGGGCCTTTTTTTCCCCTTTGGAATCTCGCCTCCTCCCGCCCGCTGCTAGGCTGCTGCTACTGCTAGCGAGCGCTAGCACCAGGCCAAAGCGAGTAGGGTGGTGGCGCCTCCCCGGCGCGGCGCGTGCGCGGTGTGGGGGCGCTTGCAGCACTGCGGCTCGCCCGGTTTGGCAATGCGGCTCTCGGCTCTGCTGCTGTATGATGAGTGGTGGAGGTGGTGGTGCTTGGGTTTTGGTTTTGGTTTGAAGGGGGAAGAGGGAGAGAGGTGGGGGAATGGAGGTGCCGGTGCGGGTGCTTTTTGTTACGAGGGCGCTGCTGCCGCCACCGGTAGGTGTGCTCAAAAGCGGGGGCGAGCGATGGCGCAGGGTCCAGCGAGGGAGGAGATGGGAAGAAAGTGGTGCGGGGTGGCCGGTGGGGAAAAGTTGGGAACGCAGCTCTGCACTCTGCAGCTCTCCTCCGTCATCTCAGAGAGAGAAACAGGTTAGTGCGTGATGGCAGCAGAGAATTTATATTAGACTATTTATTACGCGAGAAAAAATATTGTTCGCTCAGTTGAAAAGTATGGTTGAAGAACCGGGCCGATCACCTCAAAGGAGGGAGAAATGACAGCGACAGAAACGTAACTTAAGAACAGTGATGAAATGGATATATAACAAATTGTAGTACGAGTTCTTCTTCTATGATGTACTGTAAATACTGTTTTCACGCTAGATGCAATCATGTGGGATGGCACTCTACCGGGGTAGTTAGTAGCTCGGAATCGTTTTGCCTACTCAAAGTCATACCAGTACTCTACCACTGGTACTAATTGGTCACAACTCACAACGTCACCACTTGGGTTGTCTGCTAATGTGTGTCATGTTCGTTTGGCTCATAAGTCATGGCTGAAAGTATAGTTTAACTGATTTATTGTGAGAAAAAATAATATTCGTTGACTGAAAAAATACGGTTTATAAGCCGAGCGAACAGGGCGGTGAGCTGTACGTACGTACCTGCTTCGTATACCTCTGTTAACACGTCTTTACTCAACGGCAGAATTCGTACTAATCTGATCTGATGGGTAGAACTCGCAAAAATGAGAAATAAAGCAACTAGTCAAGTAGGTTTACTGGCTTGCTAGTAATGGCTCAACAAAAATGAGAAATAAAGCATGTGTAATCTGATGCTGTTGAGTCGATGGGCTGGAGCCCGGCACCAACGCCGCCGCGTCCACAGCAACCGAGATGCGGAGCAGCAGGTCCCTCCCCCTCCGCATTGTCCACGCAAGTCATGCGAGCAAACTGCCGCCCGCCGCCTGATTCGATCACACGCGGTTAGCCTCTCCAGTCTCCACCGTCTAATCTTTATCTGATGCATTAGAGCTCTGCTAGTTTTTTGTTGTTCTTTAAAAAGAAGAAGGAAGGATCATTAGCACCAAATACCAGACAACAGCTCCCGATCAGATCGGTAGGTGGAATACATACATTTGCGAGATTAATTTATGACACTTGTCCATGATCTATAGTAGTATATCCATATCATTCATTCATTCATTCATTCCTATCAGCTACTAACAGCTCAACCGAGCCATCTTTTCTTATAAAACCTGGCAACCAAGACCAGTGTAACGAGGCTAAAATTTAGGGGTGTCACATCGGATGTCATATAAAGATGTCACTTCGAGCGTTTTGATAATAAAATAAATTATATAAGTCATTAGTAATCCACTAGACGAATTTATTAAGTCTAATTAATTTATCATTAGCACATGTTTATTGTAGCACCATATTATTAAAATCTTGGACTAATTAGGCTTTAAAAATTTATCTCGTAAATTAATCTCAATCTATACATTTAGTTTCATAATTAATCTATATTTATAGGGACAAAGTTGAGTAGCCGGAAACAAAACAGTCAGTTGGGACATCGCTAGCCTCGAAAGGTCTCGTTCAGCTTTTGAAAGTGCATTGGATGATGCACGGAACTCAGCTGAAAGACGAATTGATGCATTGTTTGTCGCATCGCATCCGTCCTTTGGTACCAGCACCAGTCCAGTTGTTTATCGATCTCAAAAGAAAAATCTTATTGCTGGATTTCTGGGGCTGATTAAAAAACTGGAGCAATACAAATCTGGTGGGTAGAACTCGCAACAGCTCACGCCACCTACAAATACCTACTGCTACTAGTTCATTACGCGTGCCTTCGCGCGCGCCGGTAAGATAGGAAAAGAGATATCTATATTCTAAAGACCACATGGGTCTTGTAGAGAAATATTAAATGTGACAGTGCCTAACACTGCTGGGAAAACCACAACACTTTATAAATTTTCTGCAGTGATATTAATTCTCGTAGAAATTTTACTCACACATATGTATGTCATAGTAACTTTAATGATTTCAGCATATATATATATATATATATATATATATATATATTAGTGTTAGCCACACTGTGAGCTGATAATAGATAAAAAATGAAGTTCCACAACTTGATAACTTGATGGTAATTGACTCAACGAGTAAACTGCAAGCTAAAGTTATGATATTCACAAAATATATCATGGCATTGCGCCGAAATGGCAAGCGACATGATGAGCATTAATTGTGACCAATTTTACCGTCCTTACAACAATAGAAGATAAGCAAACAAAATAGCTAGCAGCACCAACAAAATCAAAATGCATAACGCCATTAACAAGGCAATCACTTCACACCTCTCAAAGCAAGCTGTCATAGTACACAATTTGCCACCTTTAGTGAAGGTTCTAGCTAGGCATGCTTCTTAGTTCTTACTGACTAGTGAGTAACAATAAAAGTGAGCGCTATGTCGCAATGTGATATGTTTGCAGCGATAATTGGCACGACAAAAGCATAAAGAATAGCTACTCAATATTACTAAGTATTGACGTTTAGATGCAATGCCAGACCTGAGAATCTGCTCCAGCATGAGGCGTCCACCATTCTGCCGCATCTCTGCCTGCACAGACCCGACATAGCGATCCATGACAAAACAGAGGTGGTCGCCGACCCTCACAACACCATGGAATGTGCACACGTTTCGACACCATGTGGAGGCGCGCCTCAGCCACTTCACCTCCTCTTGAACAACCTCGAGCCCGTCCCCTACGGCCAGGGGTACCCTCTTCACTGCCACCCGGTGCTTGCACCGCTTGACCCCGCCGTCGCCGCCGCCACGAGACAGCATGCCGGCCCACACCTCCTGCCCGCGCGGGTCCGGGCGGGCCGCTCCCGATGCGGCGGGCGAGCTTGAGGTCCGGGTGCGAGGTGAGGTCGAAGGAGCTGCATCCTGGCCACTTGCGAGGGGTAGGGGGGCCAGCTCGCGGACGTGCGCCATCGTGCCGCCAGCGCACCGGCCATCGGTGGAGCCCATGCAGCCGGATCTAGTGGAGACGGGGAGGGCTCGCGCTGGATCCACCTGCTCGTTGCAGATCCACCGCCTCCGCTGCCTGCGCGAGGTCCACGCCGTGCTCTAGCTTCAGATCCGTCGCCGGGAGGGGCCCGTGAGCGGCTGCTCCAGATCCACCGCCGAGGTTGCTGACGTGACCTCCCCGTCGTCATCCACGCCCACCACGGAGGTTCCTCTGCCGCCAAAGCCCTCCGACGCGTCGGGGCCTCCGCTGGCTGCCCGCGCGCCCGTGGGGACGACCGGCGACGGAGGGGCGAAACCTTAGGCCATGCGACCCGCTGCCTTGCGTCGCGAGGAGGAAGTGGCATGGTGGTGGAGGAGGAGAAGGAGGAAGGAGGTCGCCGCCGCGCGGAGGGTCGGCCACCGCCGAGGTCGTCCCGGGCCGTCGCCTAAGCCGCGTCGCGAGTCGAGAGCGAGGGAGGGAGTGTAAAGGAGAGAGGGAGAGGAGGGGATGAGAAGTTTCCTGAAGGAGAATCAGGAGTTGGAGTATATATTTGCTCCACCGGATTCGCACGAGAAGCCGCAGAAGCTAGCAAAATCAATATAGAGCGACGAGGAGGCAGAAGAAGCAGATTCTAAAGGAAGCGGCTACAAGCAGTCAGGGCCACACGATGGCGGATCCAACGGCTTGGGACAATTGGGGTGACGTGGATGCTGCGAGAGGCGGTCAAAGTAACAGAATCCGCTTCGAGTGATCTGGGCCTTCGAACGCGAGATCGGACGGCGGGGGAAATTTCGGGCGACGTGGATGACCTGGTTGGCGGCTAAACCTTCCTGCTTTGATATATAGAAATATGGTCGTGAGCAGAAAGGCCCCCTACGGTGCGTAAATCGAAAAGGATTGGTTGCCTGTTCGCTTCGCTTATAAGCCGTACTTTTTTAAGTCAACGAATATTATTTTTTCTTTCACAACAAATCAGCCAACGGTACTTTTAGCCATGGCTTATCAGCCGAACAGGGCAATGATATGACGAGAAAGAAGCTTTGCAAAGGTGGAAGTTACCACTACGCATGCTCATCACTCATGGGCGTTTCCAGCAAACAATGACAGGCAAAATTTAGACCTTGTTTAGTTCCTCCTATAAAATTTACTCCTTATTCCATCGAATATTTAGACATATGTATGGAGTATTAATATAGACTAAAAATAACTAATTGCACAGTTTATGACTAATTTACGATATGAATCTTTTAAACTTAATTAGTCCATGATTTGACAATGTGGTGCTACGGTACACATATGTGTTAATGACGGATTAATTAGGTTTAATAAATTCATCTCGTGGATTATTAATGGATTCTGTAATTTATTTTTTTATTAGTCAAACACTCCATTCAACATCCCATATGACACCTCCTAAACTTTAGACGCTAAATCAAACGCCCTTTGAGCCACCGTGTTAGTTTTTCCTGATCCGCTCTGTTTCTCTGCATTGTGTGGTGGTAACAGGTACTGTACTATAGTGTCACGTTCAGTTAACGTCCTCAGGCACGGCATTTCGCTGTTGCACGGGCTGTTGTCCTACATTCGGAATACTTCTTCTTTTTCGTGCGTCCTAGAAGGAGGATTGCAGCAGGCCGTAGTTTCGCGCCGCCGCCGCGGACAGCCGGACGGGGCTCCGAGCTTGTAAAGAACCCCCGTAGTCAGCTTCATTAAACCAAGTGATTAAAAGAACTGCAAGGACAGGCTTTGACCGCAGGGCTAGCTTTTTTAAAAATGGTGGGACAAGGCGCAGAGTGTGCAGCAGTGCACAGCTGCACCGCAGTAGAGCTCAGGTTTTCAAACGGACATGAATGAATGTCTGCTGAGTGCTGAATTGTTGATGTTAGCACGGAGTAAATTATCATGACATACGGAGTACCCTTTTTTGTGCATACATTTTTCAACTATGCTATTTTCCCAACTACTTCCTTCGTTTAAAAAATTACAATTCTTACTTTTCAAGATATCAAACAGTTTGAAGTTGACTAAAGTTGTATAAAAAAAATAATACGTACTAACATTTATATACAAAATAAGTACTATTAGATCAAGTTAATATTATTCAGGTCAAATTTAAAGCTAGTTACTTTCAAAAAAAAATAAAGCTAGTTTAACTGGTACAAATATTATAGTTGTAATATTTTTGTAACAAACGGAGTAGTAAATATCACGTGAATTGTGGAAGCTTATAGAGTGAAAGGAAAAAAATACTCCCTCTATCCTAAAGAATATAGTGGGCAAATTATCCACATAATACATAGAATCGCATTTATTTTGGAATAGAGGGAGTACCATATAATTAATGAAAACAAATGGATGTGTTATTGGCTTACTCAAACCTAATGTGATATGTTTATA